CTCCTTCAGGGAACGAGGGTTACCATACGTAACCGAGACGTTAAAACAACTGGATTCCAAAAGGTTAAAGTCGAAGATGCTGAAATAGTAACAGTTTTCATGTACCACCATAAATACAAAGAAATAAGTCAAATTTTCAACTGAAGATTGTGTGGTATGTTCTTTATCAAAATAGAAATTTGATGTACCTTCAACTATCAACTTAGTTCCATTTCCAAAGTGTATCTTCCCACATGTGGCAACAGCACAGTAATAAATCCCAGCATCAGATGGTCTGAGTTCAGTCTGAGAGAGACTGTAGACCCAGCTCTGGGTAGAAGAGCCGTTCTCTGATCTCTCCATACACTGATCACTCCTGTTATCACGGGTGTAAATGAGTCCTGGATGAGAATGTCCTGATGAATGTCTGAACCAGTAGACGCTGTATTCTCCTGCACAGATCTGACTGATGACCGAACACTGCAGAGTCACTGAATCTCCTGGATGAAGTCTGTCAGATACAGGCTGCTGGAGAACTGTGAACCCAGTGGCAGAATCTTTACCTTTGAAAGAAATCCATCAAGATGATGTCATTCTCTACTAATACAATTTTAGTTTATTAATACAGGAGTGACATCAGTAAAAGTTCTCACAAAACAGCTCGTTTTAAAGAAGTCTCACCTTTGTGTAGCAAAATCGTCCCTTCTCCAAACTGAATTGTGTTGATGAAGGTCACAGCACAATAGTAGTTTGCAAAATCATTTTCCTTCAGGTTTATGATGCTCATATTTAAAAAGTCAGTTCCAACTTCAAAAGAATACCGTTCGACCTTGTCAAAGCCGTTTTGATATATAAAACTTCCTGAGAGATAAGATGAATATGCAATAAGAAGAGGTTTTTCGCCAACAGTCTGTTTATACCATGAAACAGTGTGTATCATGTCAAATGAATAAGAGCAGGGTAAAATCACACTGCTTCCAAGTTCAGCAACTACCAAAGGATGCTGCTGAATGACACCCTTTATTTGACATGTCCCATCTAAAAATAAAAGTAATATGATTAGGAAATCTAATATGAAATTAAGTGTTCACCAATCAAGATATAAGTCAAACTTACATGAAAACATGGAGAGAGAAACGATAAACAATATTCTGAACTTCATTCTGCAGAACTTGCCAATTTAATCTAAAAGAGAAATATACAAAGCTGTCTTGAGAATTTTTGGAATGATCAAGAGAACTTAAAATTATTAATTTAAATTTATGAAGCTCAGAGGAAATACTTACTTTTCAAGAAAGATGATTTGCCAATATAATCCCCTAAAATTAAATTTGGCTAATGGAAGTAAAAAAAAATCCCAAAAAAACAGTATATTCAGGTCAGATTACAATTGGGCAATAAAATATAAATATTTTCATTTCACAGTTTAAAATAAACTGGTTATGTGGTGGACAGTGTCTGTTTGGTAGTATGTGTTCAGAATGCGTCCCCTTTTATACACAACTGTGTTCAAAGATCAAACAGTGACACTTTGATGTTTGACTGGTTGTTTTAGAGAAAGGGGCAGAACTATATTGTACTGCCATGAGTCATTTTCATGATTGTGTCTTTACACACACCAATATGGGGATGGCAGTAAGAATTGGCACAAGCAAAAACAAACAAACAAACAAAACAAAAAGCACTAAATAATGTCCCATTTAGCTGATACCTAGAGTGACTCAATAAAGCATAATTTCAGTTGGTTTAATTTGATCACTTTTGTAAAATATAGCTACACAAATGCAAACTGTCAAATGCAAACACTGAAACACATTTTTTGAAAAAGAATTATTTAAAAATATCCCAACAGAAGGGACACCCCCATGCTTCCTTGGAGTTGATTGTACTTGTTTACTGTACCTGACCACAGTAGTCAGTCAGCCATACGTTGAAACAGTTTTAAGAGTTAATCAGTTGTTGTTTTTTATCAACTAGCTTGTCAAAAGGGCTGGGTGATATGACAGTACATATCATGGCGATGATATAAAGTGTGAATCAACTGAACTTTTTCTAAATTGTTTACATAGATAGGCCTGACGGGGTAAGCAAATACAGTATATCCATACAACTTTTAGTGGGCAGGAATTATTTGAATGCTGGAGTGGAAAAGGAAGCATGGATGAATGAGTAATAGAATGTGATGTGCTTGGTGCAACTGCACTTATTATAAGTATATATGTGTCCTCTATACTTCTATGGCTCTCAATAGATTCAGTGGTTGGAGTTGGATTAATACTCCTTGACAAGTTCTATTGCTCTTTTCTGATTACGTTTCTGGCTACATTTA